GTGAGGAAGATGAACGCGGGCGGCTTGGGCATAGGCGTCTCCATCATTGATCGCATCCTGACACCGCACAAGTGGTGAGAAGCTTGAATTGTCTAGCATGTTGGTTTTGAATTGTCTAGCATGTTGGTTCGCCTTTTCTTAAAGCTTGTTGACGATCCTCCGACGCCATGGATTGCACGACGGGTTGCTGGAGGCCTTTACGGCAGCGTGCGCTTGCGTTTACTTCCAAGCACACGTGATCCTCTCTGACATCACGCCCGCCTGGGCGACGCTAAGATTGAGGGAACCGTCCTGCAGCGCATCCTTCATTTCGCTCCTTATGTGACATTGACATCGGCTAGCAAGTGTAATGAGAACGTGAACGTGTGAGGAAGATGAACGCGGGCGCATCAGGAAGATACTGCATACCGGAAGCTGCGCGCCGGCTGCCTTGACATCGCTCGCGTGTGAGTTGGAATGTTCGGTAGATGCCTGCAGACAAGCGCGAAGACAACTTCATCCACAACCATGTACAACTGAAATAACGAAACTCGGACCTGAACTTGGAAGACGCCGTCCAGTTCGGCGAAGTGAAGCTCATAGTACATTTGCTCTTCGGACCACGCAAGCGGCACGCCACGCCCGCTACACAAACGCATCGGATTCCACTGATGCGTTCTGTGGCTTAGATTCACCCAGAGACCCTCTGAGTCTCTGCGAACAGCAACAAAGTGGTGGTCGAAGCAGATTACGAAATTGCCGTTGCAGGCCAAGGCGTGAACGGGCACAGCAGTCAAGCAGCGCCTTGCCACATATGCTCTATGCGCGAGGTCTGACATCGCAGAATAAGTCTCGTGCAGCTGAGTGGCTTATGCGGTGCCAGGAACCGGTTCCCGTCGGCTTGGGCCCAAAATGGACCGTTGCTGGTGTAAGGAATCTTGAAACCAAAGCACCTGAGGCTGTCGATGAGACACGTGTCCACGAACCTGGTGCTCTGTCCTGCGAAGAAGAACGTGATCTTTCTGCAGCACACATGAAGACGGACTAGTTCGCCAACCTTCTTCACGTGCTTCATTGTGCAGCGGCGCCATTCCTTCTGCGCTGCACGCATATGTAGCACTGTTTTTTAGACGTATGGACCCTTGAAGCAATTCGTCGCCTGCTCGCAAATCCTTGACACGAAGATGCGCAGTCGGGCTTCCCGCGATTGCACCTGCACCCATAGCAAAACACACGCTCTTGCAGCACGAGTTCTTTGCGCTCAAAGAACCTCGACAGCGGCGATAGCCCTTGTACCACTTTGTTCGACTGATTCGGGACCAGGACCGCATGTCCTGCGCGGCGCATAACTGCGAACGAATTTCTGGCTGCGGACGCGGAGTCAGAAGGCCTTGGAGGCAGGAATGTCACTTGTTGTCAACTGGCAGCGCTTCCAGATGCAGTGAATCAAACTGTTGCCTGCGGCGCGAGTGGCAATGTCAAGCCTTTCGAAGTTACATGATGACGTTTCAATTACCTTGCTCAAGACAAGAAACACCATCTGCTCGGTCGAGCCCAAGTGGGGACCAGCGGGGTCGTGGTTTGTTGGAAGCCAAAGCCAATGTAATCCCCTGAGATCAATGCTTAGGCGCCAGACAAACAGGCTTGCTTGTTTAGGCGTCAAGCCAAAGTAACATCGGAGATCACGAGGCACGTCCAAATCGAGCAAAGCAATGGTCCGTTTTTCGAAGTCGTGGTGAGCCTGAGACAAGTAGCAATGATCGCACCATATTCTCCAGAGATATATTTCCGGCCTGTATCTTTGCCATGTACAAGCCTTCAAGATACTTCTTGACCCTTGCGGCAGCATGAGAGACCCATGGCGTGCCATGTTAGAAAAAACGCATCACATTCACACTCTAAACGTGCGCCTTACGCGGATGTAAGCATTGAAGGCAGTGTCTTCTGAGCCCACGCAATAGTTCCTCATGTGGAGCGCTTGCTGATGGTGCTTTTTTGAGTCTTTCTGGATAAGGTCCGGACTTGACACGGAAGTCTTTCATTGTGCTCTCTTGTCCAAAGTTGCGCCTGCACGTGGAAGTGGCTGGAATATTATTACTGCATTAAAACACTTTGCACTTAGACCCGGACTCTGCATGGATCAGCTTCTGCAGATATTCTTGTTCAAGCGTTTGCGAAACCTTCTTGGCTGTGCCTTGTTGCCACCTGCACACTTTTGTATGAATGGAAACGAACCTCGCGCTCACTACCGAATGATCAGCTCCTATTCAGAGGAGGGACCGAGCGCGATCGTCCTTCAACGCGATGGCCAGTTCTGGCCTTGCGGCTGACCCGAAGAACTAAGTGTCTTTAACGTGTCCGAGGCAGCATCTGAACGCGAGTAAGTTGTCAACGTTGTTTTCTGCCAACGCCCGTCATCATTCAAAAACCCTGCCAGCGTGGCGTGACGTCGCTTCTATGCTGGACACGGGGCGCAAGCGAGCAGGGCCGGCAGAGCGAGTCAGGTTTCCCGACGGTGGAGAACTCCTCGGGCTCGGCCGCGCTTGCGGCCTCGAACCTGCCACTGGCATCGAGCGAGGATGTCCACCTGTTACGTCAACAACGCATCATCTGCCAGCCAGGTTGCCGATTGTGTTCCCCACGATGTGCGCCGAGCCCAGCGCCTAATCGTTTCAGAAGCAACGTGTTGTGTTCGTGCTGTTACGCTGTTCCTATGCAGACCAGCGTCTCCTTGCAACTCGGGCCAGTGATGGGCTCAGGGTCAACCTTAACGAAGGCTTCGCATGATTGGCTGGCTTCTCGCACAGCCATTGCGAGTATAGGTTGAGTTTTTAAGTTGCTACCGCAATTTTCACAGGTAACTCCGCATCCTCATCGGCGAACCACGGGTACCGCGAGAAGCGATTCATGGTTTTGCCTCGGTCCAGATATTCGTTCTGATCGCGTCACGCAAGAACAAGTCACCTAATACCTGCTCGCTCTGTGCGCCCCACAGCGACTTTGGATACGAAGTAGTGAGGCGATTGAAAGCTCAAAGTATACTCGTCTAGCTCAAGCCGAAACTTAAGCGTTGGCTATATCTGCGTTCGCTTCATGATGCTGCGAGCATGCAACGACAACTTCTCTCGCACGGTTTCTCTTGGCTTCTTAAGTCTATTACAAGCGCTGTGGCATGGCAGCGTTTGCGGCTTCTTCCATGCATTTCTGCCTCGCGCGGCAATCAGGCTTGCAGACTTTGTTCGGTCAGCGCATGCCTATTTGCCTGCAGCTGCGTGAAAGGGTAATCGACCACTTGCCTCCCGGACCTTAATGCTAAACCCCAAATACTAGCCGTTCATTGACACGCACTCTAAAGCTCCCTGGTTGCCACTCCCCAGCGCCGCTCAGCTTAGGCGGAGGGCGAGGAGCCGTTTTCGCTTTTCAATTTTCGGGCTTAGCGCTACGGCGCTAGATGTTTTAGCATTTTTGTACGTTCTAAGTTGAGAATGGACTCGGTGACCTTGTTGCGGTGGGCAACACAGCTTGACCCAAGCCACTTGACGTGACTGGACTATAAGTCAGGCCTGCCACCGTTTACTGCACGTTCTTTGGAGGCTACGATGCCTTTTTCCGCGTGCGCAGCCACTCTAGCCGAGCACAAACAGCCCGAGGATCGAGTCTGGATGTGTTTTCACATCGCACAGAGCTGCTTGAGTCTGGAATTTTT